ATTTTATGAAACGTGGAAGAGAGTAAACAGTTATGTGATTAATTTTACAATGAGTGCTGCGAGGTATTGTGTATAAGTGGAGAAATCTTGTAATGTGTAAAGAAGGAAATGTTGATATTGAAAAGTTTTTTAAATTCACCTTCAAACGTTTTGTAAAATATATTTTTACATATTATAACAAAGAGAAAAAAAGGGCAATATTTGCCAAATATTTCACTAAGAACAATGACGTTATTTTGTTGAGAGATGGTGATGTTCAAATTGTGTTTTAAATTTTGGAGTAAATGTGTGCTTGTATGTTCTTTTTAATTGATTTTATATAGTGTTAACTGTTCTGATATTACTTAAAACAACTAAGTCAAGTGATCAATCTATATTTTAAAAGCATGTACTATCTGTGATATTTTTTCTATTGATTGAAAATACAGTTATATGCATTGTGAGGAACCTCGGGGGTCCCAAACCCCGGGGCCCTATGACTGGACCAATAAATGCTTGATACATTCTCAAGAAAAAAAAAGAAAAACAAACGCGGTTAGCTTGTGACCAGACGAAGTAAACGGTGTAAGTTCGAATACACGTGCCGGTTCCTTTTTATTTATTTTGTAATTTAGGCATTTGATTTTTTTCCTTTATAAAGTCATAAAATATTCTTTTCAAATCAATGGTACATTTTATTTATGATTTAATAACATGCTTATTGATTTATCTTCTTTGGAATCATGTCAACAAATCACTGTACACGTGTCAAGTACAGCTACGCTTTGTAAACATCATTTTAAAATATATTTATGAATTGTTTCACCCTCCAATAGGTACTAGTAATTTTATCTATTATTAAAACACAAACAAATGATACTAAAATACAAAAAAAAGTGGGATTGTTCAGTCAGAATAACAAGAGGCCCATGGGTCTTAACGGTCACCTGAGTCCTACAGTATTTATTTTTTGTTGTTGAAATATGTACCAATTTGAGTAAAAAAATTGTTAAGTATAACGTTAACTTAAGTTTGTCAGGACCATGAGCTGATCATTCCTAGACCGATTTTCAGTTAGATCGGCCTATTAGAACTTTGAAATAGGTATTTTCAAAATAGCGGCCATGGCAGCCAAATTGTGTTTCTGATCGACCTGAAAAATAACAAAACTTTGTCAGGACCATGAGTCGATCATTCCTACAAAGTTTCAGTTCAATCGGCCTACCAGAACTTGACTGTAAGTTTGAAATAGTTTTTCAAAATGGCGGCCGTGGCAGCCATATTGGATTTCTGATTGACCCGGGAAAAAACAACACTTTGTCAGGACCATGAGTCGATCATTCCTACCAAGTTTCAGTTCAATCGGCCTAGCAGAACTTAACTTTAAGTTTGAAATATTTTTTCAAAATGGCAGCCGTGGCGGCCATATTTGATTTCTGATTGACCCGAAAAATAACAACACTTTGTCAGGACTATGAGTCAATCATTCCTACCAAGTTTCAGTTCAATCGGCCTAGCAGAACTTGACTTTAAGTTTGAAATAGTTTTCAAAAATGGCAGCCGAGGCGGCCATATTGGATTTCTGATCGACCCGAAAAATAACATCATTCCTACAAAGTTTCAGTTCAATCGGCCTAGCAGAATTTGACTTTAAGTTTGAAATAGTTTTCAAAAATGGCGGCCGTGGCGGCCATATTGGATTTCTGATTGACCCGAAAAATAACAACACTTTTCAGGACTATGAGTCGATCATTCCTACAAAGTTTCAGTTCAATCGGCCTAGCAGAACTTAACTTTAAGTTTGAAATATTTTTTCAAAATGGCAGCCGTGGCGGCCATATTGGATTTCTGATTGACCCGAAAAATAACAGCACTTTTCAGGACTATGAGTCGATCATTCCTACAATGTTTCAGTTCAATCGACCTAACAGAACTTGACTTTAAGTTTGAAATAGTTTTCAAAATGGCGGCCGTGGCGACCATATTTGATTTCTGATCGACTATAGTAAAGTTTACCCCCTCCCCAGGGGAACACGTGAGACCCCAGGGTCATAAAATTCACAATTTTGGTAGAGCACCTTAAGACCCTTCCACCTATGACGAGTGTTTGATTCTACCATATCTGGGTCTTGAGAAGAAGATTTTTGAAATTTCAGTCAATTCGACCCTTTTTTGCCCCACCAAATAGCCCCTGGGGGTCAGTCAGGGCTCATATGTGCATACCATCAAACTGCTACCCAATACTGATAATGCTAACCTAAATTGAATTACCTCCAATGGCAATTAAACAAATGTTGGTCCAAAATGTAATTTCCCTATATAAACTATAGTAAAGTTTACACCCTCCTCAGGGGGAAACGTGAGACCCCAGGGTCAAGAAATTCACAATTTTGGTAAAGCACCTTAAGACCCTTACATCTATGAAGAGTATTTGATTCTACCATATCTGGGTCTTGAGAAGAAGATTTTTGAAATTTCAGTCAATTCGACCCTTTTTTGCCCCACCAAATAGCCCCTGGGGGTCAGTCAGGGCTCATATGTGCATACCATCAAACTGCTACCCAATACTGATAATGCTAACCTAAATTGAATTACCTCCAATGGCAATTAAACAAATGTTGGTCCAAAATGTAATTTCCCTATATAAACTATAGTAAAGTTTACCCCCTCCCCAGGGGGAAACGTGAGACCCCAGGGTCAAGAAATTCACAATTTTGGTAAAGCACCTTAAGTCCCTTACATCTATGAAGAGTATTTGATTCTACCATATCTGGGTCTTGAGTAGAAGATTTTTGAAATTTTAGTCAATTTGACCCTTTTTGGCCCTGCCCCTCAGACCCCTGGGGGCCGGGGACCAAACCGGCAACTATTTTTGTTGACCTTTGGCCATGGAAGGTTTCTGCAAAATTTCATTGAAATTTGTTCAGGGGTTTTGGAGAAGAAGTTGAAAATGTAAATTGTTTACGGACGCACGACAGACGACTGACGACGACGGACAAAAGGCGATCGCAATAGCTATAGGTCACTTGAGACTTTGTCTCAGGTGACCTATAAAGCTAACTATTTCAATATGATAATCTTTGTTACACACACATATTTGGAGCTGTTCGTGGCAGTATGTCTTACAAGTGCAACATCAACACACACAATTTTACATATAGACATTTGTACATTACTTGCAAATTAGTGAAATGTTCAAAGGTGGCAAAATTTCAACTTTGAGCAAACCACGGAAGGCCTGATGACGTCACAAATGTTGCTGCGTGACGTCATTCAGGCGTGTTTACAATAATGTTTATGCAGAGACATTTCAGCCAAATCTTCTTCTGGTGAACGTCAGCATTTTGATACATAGCGTCTTCGGAAAATAATCTAATCTAAAAAAATCGGAGGAATTATTAACTGAAACCATTACTAATGTGACAAATTTGTCTTCACTTACATGAGCCTGAGCCTGGACACAATTTAATTGTACAGAACCGCAATTCTTACATAGACCCCCCCCC